AACCTGGCCCCACCTTATTATGCGAATTCCTGAGGTCAGATGGCCCAGGATGTGAGTGGGCGTTAAGGCGTCTGGGAAGGGATCTCAAAACTGGATTATAGATGGCAGAGAGTTGGCGTCGTAAACCCCCACCTCTGTTCAAAGATGGTCGCTCACAGTGGACATAGATGGTTTCTCCCACTAGGTTTATATCTGGGACTCTCCACCATTTGACCTTAGAACTGAAGAAGCTTCTCGGATGAGAGGTGAAACGTCTTCAAGCAACTTAAAGAATTCCAGACGCTTGTCTTTGCAAGCTCCTTTGACTACGATGACCTGGATGACTGAGAACCTTCACAGACACAAGGTAAGATCACACCACTCGTTCCTAAGATTTCAAAATAGGCCACAAGGGGGCTGTCTTAACATGGGGAGGAAGGTAACTCCAACTTTTAGGGGCTATAGCTAAAAAAGATCAACTGTCTCTGCTTTTTAGTTAAGGTTTTGGGACTGCCAGGAACAGCTGGTCCGTGGATCGTATGGAGTCAGGAAGATATATAGTGTGGTACTCATCCATTAAGAGAATTTAAAATAAATAATAAAATCTTAAAAGGGATCCTGAAAGAAGGAGGAGGCTAGGAGAGGCAATGTGCTCATGTTTGCAAGTACCAGTTAAAAGGCCAGCAGTAGTATTTTGGACCAATTGCATGCGAGCAAGGAAATAGTTGCTAAGGCCAACATGAAGTGCATTCCAGTATTCCAGACGCAAAGAGACGCTTACTTAATTACAGAATGTATCTGCTTATCTAGTATAAAATCACAGTCACAAATGTGAGTTACTGTGGGTTTAACAGTAGGAGCCAGGTCAAATAGAGGATTGACACAGACACCACTGGACCTGAATACACAGTCTTAGTATCCTTTAGACACTTCAACAGTGGTTTAAGCGAGCTGACATTAATTATTTTTAGTACATGTAAATTTGGGTTGTTGTCTGCATAAAAATAGTTGGCTAGGCCTCCCCAGAGTGAGAAAATAAAGATGAAAGATGAAACTTCTGTCAGTCTACATGAGAGAGGGACTGAGGAAGATACAGGGTTATCAAAGTGATAAATAGGACCTGAACCACTCTGTTTAACCTTATTGATGTCATGATGAATTTATGATGACTTACATTATATTCCCAAAAGTATTCAGTCATCTTCACATGCATATGAACTTCAAATTCAAATTCAAATTTTATTTGTCACATACACAGTCATACACAGTATGATGTGCAGTGAAATGCTTACACAACTGCTCGTGAGATAAAACAAAAGACTATGAATAGGATAGGACATAAATATGAAAA